TTCTACATTCCTGAACTTCCAAGTCATACCCTGGGAAGTCTTCAAAAACTGAGAGCTACTTCCCACTGCAGCCATCTGTACTGTTCTCTACTCTAGGATTCAGCTTCTTTATCTCTGTCAAGCTTCTTGCTTCCAGACGTCAACTCGCAGCTCCAGTATGCCCATCGTGGAGAATGCCTTAAGTCCAGGGGGAGGGGAGATTATTTCTCCCTCATGCCTGAGTCCCCGCCTGTAAAGCTCACTAGGGTGTGGAAAAGAAATGACGTCCCTTAATATCGCTTTCGGAACTCATTTCCTACAGTACATTTCAGGCGGGGAAATCTCGGAGATAATTGGTCAGAATGCTTCGCCATAATATTCACAGGCGCTGTCGAATCGGGTATTGTTGTCTCCCTGCTGTGTCGTCCCTGCTGCTGCCATCATTTATGCAGCTAGAGATGGTTGTCTAGACACCTTTTTGGCTGAGCGGTTTGATATATGACAGGTATCTTTAACACTGCCAAGAGTCACTGGGAGGATGAGCCCTTCACGTGATGTTGTAAAAGAAGCATCTTCATCTCTCGGCCAATCTAACAAAAACATGTTCCTTTCTCTTTCGCGATCCCCAAGACATTGACATGGAATCAATTCAGGGTTCAAAAGACCATATAACTCGGACTTAAGCCGTTCTGCTTTCTTTGAGATAGCTTGCGTTCTCATGCAACATGGTCCATATCACCGCTCTTCCCAGCGAGCTTCTTACTCTCATTGTCTCTTACGTCGATCCATCATCTTGGAAGAATTTGCGTCAAACATGTCGCCTGCTCTCATGTTTCACTACTCAGCTGCTGTTTGAGACCTTGAAACTGTATCCCACCGAGGGCAGCTATGAGATTATGGACGAAATCGTAAAGGGTTCAACTTTAGGGGATGCGGTCAAAAAGGTGTATATCAGCACACGCGAACATCCATACGTTAGTATTCTCCTCTGACCGCCCAACGAGTAGTATATGCTTACAGAACTAGGACTCAGATGATGAGGAAGAAGCCTACTTTCCCAACGAATTTGAAAACAGGATTTCAGACCTTAAGACCTTTCTTAAAGTACAAAACGCTGTGTTACAATTTGACAAGCGTTGCGGCATGTCTACGCATCATTGGATTACCAAACCTCCTCAGACAGTCGCCTTTCGCGAAAAGGCGCTCAGTGTCTTCTTTGAATGGCTGGCTTCACTCGATGTGCCTCTGCAATCCTTGGGTATTCAGCATCTGCAGGATATCAACATCAAAGACGACGAACTATCTAATAGAATCACTAAAGTGCTACGGTATCTGCGATCTCTCCGCTTAAGCATTGTGAGCGAGCATAATACTGCCACAACAGAAGATCCTCGAGAATTTTGGAACGAGGACAGATTCAGTCTATTTCCCGAGTCGCAATCTTTTTTTACAGAGCTTCCGTCAATGTGGCTGAAACCAACCGCGTCCTCTCTTGAACACCTAACCCTTTTCTGCGACACGTGGTTTGGATTTCGCCCAAAGCTTGAACTGAGCGAGGTCCACTTTCCGCATCTCAAAAGTCTTGTTCTGGGAAATTTTACCTTCTTCCAAGACTCCCAGCTGGAGTGGATTCTCTCACATGGAGCCACCTTGAGTGAATTGTCCCTGGACGATTGCATGATCCTGTATGATCTCTCTCTTTTGGAAGACACGCTGGGCGAGTATTCATTCAACAAAGACGAGATGGAACTCCGCCTTGAGGATGACGGGGAGGCAGGGTACGGGTACTACTACTCCTACAATAAGCGGTGGCATCATTACTTCGACGCATTCCGAAGAAGGCTGCCTCATCTGCGCCATTTCCGCATTGGGACTAGTGATTGCACTCATGGTGTACCATTCGAGACGGAGCCTGAGATGAGAATCGGCTTACTCGAGGAAAGGTATGGGGTGTTCTATGATGGGTGGGTGCCGACTCCATATGTCGATGTCAGTTATTGGCCTGAACCTTGGGAAAGAGGTCCACCGAACTGCAATAAGGAAGATCGCAAGTCCTTACGCTTACTGTTCGATCATATTGGGCAAGAAGTCGAGGAGAGTTGGACATTGCACGGAATTCGCGTTAAAAATCTCATACAAGTCAAGTCATGATGCTCGGTTTGAATCTGGATAGAGCTAGACATGTTACGGTAATTAGTAGATACAGTGCACCGCATGCAATAGCATCTGAGAAGTGTTTCCAAAGCTGCAAAGTAGATCATTTCTACGGAGTGGTTTCAGACGCAAAGCATGAACGGCGTACATGATAAATGGAGTTGGATGTTGAGAAGTACATCAAAGTTCTTTCCTGGCACCGGAAGACAGCTTCACCTTCATCATCATTCCATCTACAGGCTTTGCGGTCACTTGCATTGTCTAGCTTAAACGTCAATGCTGGTGAATGTCCCAATAGAAGACTGAAACTTACGCTGAATAATTGCGACTTGACCTCGTACTGCCCTCGCGGATTCAGAATTGGCTGCCCTGCGCTATCCCTCGCGACCTCACCGAGCCCAATCTTCACAAATTCGTACCGTCTAACCGCACAAGCCAGAATCACTTGTGCCTCAATCGTTGCAAGTCCCTGGCCAATACAGCTGCGCGGTCCTCGCTCGAATGGTCGCCAGGCGCTGGACGGTATCCGACAAGCACCCATATCACCGAGCCATCGTTCCGGAAAAAAGTCATCCTTCGATTCCCCGTAGACAGCCTCTTCGCGATGGATGAGCGTCTCGCAGTTGTACATTAGGACGCCGTCAATGCACAGCGACCTTCCATCTGGCAGTTGGATATATGCACCCGATCCCGCGGGCGCAAATCTCCCCGTTCCCGACGAAGGGTATAAGCGAAGTATCTCTTTGATCACGGCGGAGGTATATTGCAACTTCGTGAGGAGCTCTTCACCGTTCGGCGAAAGAAGCTTATCACGAACTATTGCTGGGGAAGGATCAGGCCCAAAGACGTCGTCGAGTTCTCGGCGAATGGATTCAAAAACACGAGGTGTGCGGCTGAGCTCATAGAATGCCCACTGGAGGAGGATGCTGGTCGTGTCATGACCAGCAAACAAGAAAGTTTTCAGCTGGTCGCAGGTTTGATCGAGGACATGGGCATTCAGGTGCTCGATATTCTGTAGACTGAGGGCCAGGACGCTGCGGGACTTTTTCTCCTTGGCGCCGGCTTCCTCTAATTCTGCGAATTTGCGTTTGATGTGGTTCTTGATGATAGTATCGAGTCTGCAAGCCAGAGTATATTGGTGCCATACCACCAAGGGGTTCAACACTTTTGCGCGGACTGAGCTCTTTCGGTGGTAGCTTGCAGCCAGCTCAAGGTAGAGCTTGACCATCTCGCTCTGCTTGTCTATGGGAAGCTGGGCTCCCAAGTCCTCGTCCATTGTCACTGCGCCTAGACTGCTATATGAGTAACGGTGCATTTCCCTCAGACGGTCAAATTCCTACCGATGATATCAAAGGTGAGATTGGTACATGTTCCAGCCAGACTAAACTCTTCGCCTGACTGAGCATATCGATCAAGAGTCTCGAAAAACGGCACCGTCTTCTCCAGTATGCACGGGAGCAATGTCAATAAATGCTGAGGCGCAAATCCAGGATTAAACCGTTTGCGAAGGCTTTTCCATTCCTCTCCCTGTCTTTATCAGCCAAAGTCTTCCATATGAAGTATACTACCTAGGAGTTGGACACACCTCGGAAGTAAGAATCGAATGAGGGCCCATTAGATACTTATAAGCCTGCAGCGTCTGGGTCTTGGGCATACCATACGGGAACTGCTTCGAGCCCCTGGCTACCTGCTCTGCAATCTCATGGCTGCAGACGATACCCATAGGATGCTGTATCGGGCGTGGGTCGAGGAAATACAACGGTGGGTTACCTAGGTGGGTCTTGATTTCCGCGAATACATGATCTGCTCTGTATTAGTTTGTGGTGTATGAGGAAGTTTGCAGGACGAAGCTTACCAATATGCCTGTTGGGCTCACCGCGGGAAATAAAGGCGTTGAGAACCTTCATATGACCCCATACTCGTGACGGCTTTGGCTGTGGCCATGCTGCGAATTGTTTGGTCCGATAGTAGTCGAGCTTATTCAGTATCCAGAAAGTCAGCAGTGGAAGTGCTGCTATGACGGAGAGAACGAGGAACATATCCGCAGAGATGATCCAAGTGACTTGAGCTGGGTGGTGACAGAATGGAAGTTGGAAAGTAGACCCCGACGCGCTTCTGCATGTCTATGCGGGGGAGTATTCTTGGCAGCCTGCAGGGATGCATCTGGGTAGAGGATGAGCTATCTGCATTGTCATCCAGGTACAATATTATTAGGCTGTTGGTCTAGGTTTTGACTATCAGCATTAAGGGAACAGAGGTCTGCTGCAAAGAACGGCATATTGAAGTGTGAGGTTTTATCGAAGGTGATGAAGCGGATAACTATATATTTGTACACAACGGATCAGAGTGGCCATCGACAAAGTGCACAAGGGGAGGAAGCTGATGGTAAGAAGGAGTAATCAATGGCAAGTATTAGTGCTTATACACCTTTCATTTTCTTTTTTTGTGTCAGACAATGTATGCCAGCCAGATACACTGTATGATCTCTGAGAAGTAGTGAACGGAGCAAATAATGTGGAAGGCTTTCAATGAATTAGCATGTCAACCAAAGGGTGGTTACATTTGACAAGCAAATTGGCCGGATGGCGCAATGGTAGCGCGTTGGTTTTCGGCACCAAAGGTTGCGCGTTCGAATCGCGTTTCGGTCGTTTCTTTTTTGGTTTTTGTTTTCCCTTCCTTCCCCTCGCCCGGTTTATTCCTCCAATTTATCTACAATTTCACGCCTTATCTCGGCAGTTCTGTATTCGAATTTGATTTCCCCATCAATCTCAATTTATTGTCCCTCAACCAAGAAGAACTTTTAATGCCTAAATAACAGAAGGTCATCATTCATTAGATGTTGATACGTGTGCATCAGCCAACAAGGATCACAGAAATTGTGTAAGATAACTCTCATTATAGAGAGGCGGACCAAGCCCGATGTTTGTACTGTCATCTGCCGACGGGATAACATTTGCAAATGACATGCCCGATTCCAAGAAATTGTAAAAGTCGTCAGTTTCGTTTAGTGCAAAATCAGAATGGGAGACTGGTCGTTCCATCACGGCGGATTCCGAAGCCATTAATCTCGACAGGTCGTCCTGAGCTCCAGGAGCAGTGACATTGCTCAAAATCTCAATCATGCGACCGGCAAGAGCGGAGTTCTCTTGCAACTGATGCAGGATTTCTGAGTATTGCTGGAGCGTTCTTTGACTCGCTTCATTGGTTTGACGGTAAGTCGATTCGACAGCCTTGATATGAAACTCCACTGCCGGCACGAGAATAGCGATGCTGGAAATAGGAAGAAAGGTGATGAGGTTCAAGCGATATAGTTCATCGAAGATGAGGCTGATTCTGTTTAGGATGTGCTCCTTTGCGTGGCTGTTGCTCCCTACATTGCGACTGCAGACGACGTAGGCCGATGCGAGATAAAGCAAGAGCAGCCAGGCACGATGGACAAGTATGAATTGTTCCAGCTCCGTGACAGTCGATGAGGTCGGTGATTGATGACGAAGCGCCGGTGGCAGTTGTGCATGCCATCTGCCCAATCTCTGGGCGAGGTCCGCGACTTCAGCAGCGGAAGCCTTGTTTACCGCACTTGCAAATCCGCCTTCGCGGCCTTCGCGGCCGGGAGAGTCAGACAAGTCTCCTGATAGTTCAGGAAATTGTCCTATCTGACAGAGCTTGGATTTCTCAATGAACAGCCTCGCTTGGAACTGTTGATACTGCACATCACGGAGGAAGTCGTAGGTCCCTACTAATGTTTGGACGTTGGGGGATAAGGCACCGAATCTGAAATCCTGAGTACTGGGCAGAGGGGTTTCGCGTTCACTGCCGTTTTCTGGACCGTTCATCAAGGTAAGAAGATTACTCGATGTTAGTCGCACATGATTGAATATGGACCACCACGTCCGTCTCCATATTTGTTGCTTTCTTGCGTTTGCCTCGACCATTTGAGTCTGACTCGAGCTGATCATAGAGATGCAGATCTCCAACCAGTGGGCGAGTTCTTTCCGGTCGCGGTGCGGCTCAGGATGAGATATCATCAGCAAAATCGCTTGAGCGTTAGTGAGTTGGTCGTCTTCGCATTCGAGATCGAGAAGCACCTGCACCGATGAGTTTTTACAAAGCGCAGCCGGAGCAGGGGAGAGACGTACCTTCAATTTGCGGTATAGGCTCTCGCGGAAAAAACTGCGCGAAGGATATCCCTCATCACGAATATGGCATACATCGACAAAAGCTGAAGCAGCAAACAGCACGGCGTGAAATAGTAACAGGCTGATCCGATGGGATTCATTATCACCGGCGACAGCGGATAGAAATTCATGCAGCCCCAATATAGGCATGTGCGGATGGACCCAGAGCAGATAGCTCTTCAGTAGTTCGTTCCGGAGCATGTCTCTGGGGAGGTCAAGCGCCCCACTACGTTGAAGATACTCGATATCGTCTCTGTGCAGTCTGTGTGGGAGACCGGCCAGGTAGCTCGGCAAATGGACAGCCGGTGGAGCGGCGGAGCCGGGCCCAAATAGTTGATTGATGATAGAGATGTGGTAGTCGAGAGGGATGGTTGATAAGACGGCGGGATTCCCGGCCATGCCATTCTTCAGTTCGCATTCTCGCTCGCTTTCTCTGAGTTGTGAGGCGAATATATCCTCTTCACGATATCAGTCATCCTGATGAATACCCTACTTTAACGGAAAGTGACAAACCGGGACAATATGTGAGCAACGAGCCTGGCTCCTCGGTCACGCTATGATGACTGCAACAATCAGCAAGGTAATATATCTGGCGTATGTTACTGAGCAAGACTCACAATGTGCTTCCGTGAGCGTCACAGTCCAATTTGGCCCGACGACAGGACGAACACGAGCCTCCACTAACACCAACATAACATCGCTGCCTCGTCTTAACGCAGTTTGAACAAGCTCCAGACTCGGCAGTTCTTGCACGTCTTGGAACGGAATGCATCGCGGCAGTTGCGAGCCCAAAACGCTACTGTGAAGCTAAGATCGAGGCGTGGGGTTTTTTTTCTACCAGCACTGTGAAGATCATGTCACGGACCGACGGTGATGACCCACACCCGCCGACCGAGCCTGCCGCGGCATACCCAAAAGTCTCCGTAATCCGCAGCAAATCAGCCCGCCTCCGAGCCTGTTATTTGTTCAAACCTTAAATATCAAGGAACTGTGATTGGACAAACGCGAAAGATCGGTCTGGGGCCCCAGATTCGGGTATACGCGGGTCCCTCATCCGAGGACCGCCGACCCGGATTACGCCGGAGATATCAAGTTTTGACCATCCTGCAATTATGGAGAGACACTAAATCCGGACTAATGATTGATGCAGATTCATCTGTGACTAGTGTCCACGGCTGGTCTCGTTTATGCTGAAGCTCCAAGCTGGTGACGCTAAGAGAACCCAGACCATGTATCAAGTTTAAGCAGTCAACAGTGCTCTGCGTCCTAGGTAAGGGACATTGAACTCCCTTTGCTGACAGTACCTACCCAAGACGAGGTTCCTGCCTCACGTTGTCAAGTGCACCCAGGTAATGCACACGGTCTTTGGCATAGAACTCGACGTCGACCTTGTTGCGCAAATGCGCCTCTCCACCGTCGAGCGTGCCCGCCTTGATTCCCGTCTTGTCGCTCATCATCTCCAGCTCCGAGTACAGGCTCGATCCGCAATCGCCGCAGAAGAAGTGCTTGTTAATCTTCCCACTCTCGCCCGTGACATCATGCGACCGCGGAGTTCCTGGCTGGCGTTAGCTTTGTGAATATATGTCACCTAGTGTGATGGTGTCCATACCTTTAGTGACCTTGAACGAATCTCTTGGAACAATAACGTTGGATGTGAATGCGCTGCCGGTCCACTTTTCAATGGAGGTCTCAGTCTTCGTCGCCTTCCCACAGGGGCATTGGGCCACAGGGAACCGCCCATACCTTTTGACAATCAACGCAGTGGCAGAGGCAGCTCATTAAGGGCTCAGCTTGAATGCAACCATCAGCATGAGAATAGGCGATAATGCGTTTAACTTACAGCTTGAGGTATAGGCGATGGCACCACACATGCAGCTTCCGTTGAGAGTCATGGCTAGGAGCTATTATCCCCTATCGTTGAAATGATGAACTGCAGCAAAGATTTCAGGATGGATGCCACGCTGGCATCTTATACGAGCAGCGGTGACTCAATGCTCTTGGGTCTTGGTCGTAATATCGTATAAGCGGGGTAATTGCTGACACAAACGCCGAATTGTCGATATCTGCCTCGTCATCTACTGCGATTGAAATAACTTTGCAATACGGGCAGAGTGGCATGTGAGGGTTTTTGTATATCGACCTGGAGCAATGATTGTTCACCACCCCGGCCCATTATTACATATATCCCTGACAGATATCGGTCACTATGTCAATCACAGACGACCAAATGCCGGATCAAGCAGCTACAGCAATTATAGACAATTAATAACTGATTTTGACAAAATCATTCCCCACATAAAGGATTACACCCAAGATATATGACTTCCTCGTCAAACTTCAAATATCGGAAGCTCGACAACCACGTCGACGAAACAGCACTCGGCCAAGGCAGGATGGTAAGGCATTTCGGCGACGCTAAATTGGCTCGCCATCTTTGAATGGAACCTTCCAGCTGCTCAAGATCATTGAAATTGAGATGCAAAAAAATATTGACATGTTTGATTATGCAGTCATATTTGTTATTACAATCCAAGAAGTTTTATTCGATGACCCAGGGTGTACTAGATAATCTACCATTGTTGGAAGCAAATGCTGATTCGGCATTAGTAAGCAAAATAATCACGTGTCAGATGGCTTCATCGCCGAAGCGGGCCGGCGATGTTTCAAGTATCAATGACCGGCCTGTAACTCCTCACATTCGCGAATATGAATGATCGAATCAATCGCCCCGTGAAAGCTGCCTGTCTAGCTTGGTACGTATGTAATCTCTGTGTGCTATCCACCAGTAACTGACGCCCCTCCCAGTCGCGCTTCGAAAACACGCTGTGACGGACAAAACCCGTGCCGACCGGTAGGCCGTGTACCTTTACTGTTAAACCAGTAAATTTCAATCCGCTAATACCAGATGTGTTGTAAAGTGCACATTAAGAGATCGCATTTGCACCTATAGACCCAGTAGAAGGGGCGGGCCTCGTCGAGGACCTCGACAGTCGGCTGTCGAGTCTAGTCCGCTACCGCCACAGGCCGCAGCAATAATCCATGCTCCGCAGTCTACACCTTCACTGCCAGATGAGTCCACTCTCACGCCTATGGACTCCAATCTCTGGAGTTCAGCGACCCCTTTCTCCTCTCTTGGGAGGAATCAGGATTCAAATCGGCCTGTGAAAGACGTCTGGTCCCCTCCGCACCAGGACTCACAAGGAGAACTCCAAGGGCCGGTTCTGCGGGTCTATACTTCTGAAGAAGAAATGTACGTACCAAAAAAGGACATTGCTGATTAATACAGCTAAGAACCTTCGTATTTACTAACTGTGGATGCTCGGTGTCGACGCAGACAAATTGCCTATTACCATTTTGTCCATCCATGTCTACCTTTATTGCCCCCTCCGCCCGGTTCGTCTCTGCCTCAGGACAATCCGCATGTCTTCCAGCCATCACATGGACTGGCCGGCACAGTGGAGCTATCTTGTCTGCCCTACCGGCCGACGTCCTCGTTGAGCCTGGCATTATCCGCCATTCTGGCCTTGATACCACCTCCGCATGATCGGAATCAATCCGAACCCTGCAGTGTGTGGCTACGACGGTCTTACGCTCAGCTCTTTGCTCAAGCCGCTCTCCGCATGGCAGAGAAGGAGATCGAGGACTTTACAGGCGGCTGGGCAAACTCCGATGGTTTGGTAGAAGGCCGAGATTTCCATCCGCAATTACCGACGCAGTTGCACCCGATTCTGGCTCTGACCGTCCTCAGTGTATATGACTTGTGTCAATGTGGCAATAAATCACGCATGCGGATGCGCGCTAATCAAGCCATTACAACAGCCATGGATTATTCGCTTCACCAACTCGACGAGAACGCAACAGAAGCACAGCGTCGAGCATGGTGGACTGCGGTTTGTGTTCTCTGACCATAATTCAACAGTGCGGGCTAATAATCCAAACAGGTCATCGTGATGTACCATTCGTCGGCCAACAATGACTCGGTAGGTTGAATTACCAAATCTGAACATCCTACAGGCACGCAAGCTCTCTGACGATCTACTAGTCGCCCATTATCAGCATCAGTGATCCGAGAATAACCACTCCGTATCCTAAATTTGATATTCAGGTTAAAGTCTCAGAGGTAGTAGACTTCGCTCCGAACATATTTCCATGGTGATCCCCTTAATTTGTCCTGTGATATGGCTAACATTCACTAGCCTTGGTCGCTCTTACTGAAAGCGCAGGACGCCATCCTCTCCGTCTGCGCTGTGATGCGTCCACTAACTGCGAAGAGCCAGAACGGCTCACTGGCACTGGATCTCCGGGAGCGGGCTTGTCGCCTCGACAGGCACATACTATCATTAGCGGCGGACTGTGACCACTGTGAGCTGGAGTTAGGAGCAGCGGAAAATGATCAAGTTGAAAACCTGGCCGCTTTGAGCATTTGGAAGACTGCTTGTGCCATGACTCATACGTGGGTGACCTAGTTAAATCTGTCAAAGATTTGGAAACTGACGGGTGCATTGATATGCCAGAGCACGAGTCAAGCTTCATCGCTACAGAGCCTTTTCCGATATTCCCATATTTCTGGAGAAGCATTGTGACCTTACTTTTCTCAAGCTGGACACTTTTCCATCGCAGACTGCCTCGCTTCCGGTGCAGCCGGATCTAGATTCGATCTTTCCCTTCACCCAGACTGAGTCATCAATAATCAGCTTAAAGTCGTCCCTCGCTATTTCGCGTGCCCTAGCAGGCCTACCACGTTCAGGTCTTTTGCCCCTGCGTACAGCAGAGATGGACGAACCAAGAAACTCCAACGCCGCAGGGTACACCGGATCCCTGCCATTTTTTAAGTGTGCCGCTATGCAGGCCTCCTACGTGTTGTATATGTTGGTGCACCGGCTCCGGGCGGCACTGTCGTCAAAACGCCTTTCGGTTTGCTATCCGCTTCTGAACCACCCGGAACCTGTGACCGAAGTTCAAGACGCTAAGCGATTGATAGAGGAGCTCCGCAACGGGGCTCATTCTATGATTGTCTGCCTGAAGCGGGACTTAATCTTTGAAGGTATTGGCGGCATGATACGTGATCTTGATGCAGCATATTTCTCTCTGTTTCCGAACTAAGTCACTTTATGCGGGTAAATCTCCTTCCAATCCTGCAATCGAGAGCGCTAGACACTTCACCATCAGCTGAAAGTGGGACGGATCTCCTGCTCCCAGTCAAAACTCTCCAGCAAGGCCATGAAATCAACATCGTCTCCTATCGTCATTCCGTTGATCGAAGGATCGGGAAAGGGTTGGTCTGTCGTTGGCGATAGCACACGATCAAGGACTTGTCTGATGAGCATCTGCCCTTGCAAAGCAATCTCATAATCCCCCTGGTGTTGCTGGATGAAGGTGTCTGCGTGCGAGATGAAGACGCTCAGCTTTTGAATGATCTCCGAGCGAGGAAATGGTGTGGAAGAGAGCACCGGCTCAAGTTTTGGCTGGGAGTGTCGGAGTAGTTCGGTCGCTAAGGCACCTGCAGCAGGAAGGCCGATATAGCAAAGCTGTGTATAATCAGCGGTGATCAACAGTGAACAGTGACGAGGTCGAACACTTACATCGAGGATGGTCAACATGTGAGTCTTCTGGGATCGCATCTGCCTCGACACCAAGTCAAGTAAACAAGTGATGATTTCCAGAGAGATTTTGATCAATGCATCGTGACCCTTGCCTATTCGTTTGACGAGAGTCGAATAGATTAGGAAGTCCTGGTGCAGAAACTCCAGATGCAATGTTGCAAGCTCCGGATTGGTCGACTCAGGGTTCCATTGCAGGAAGGCGGGCAGTTCGGAGCGCCATTGGCGTGCTCTCTTAAGGACTCTCCTGTCGGGCTATTGTTAGTACCGGAGATTGATCCCACAAGCGCAAAGCGGCCTAAGCACTCACTCAGCATGTTCCTCCACATTGTCGCCTCCCTGGCCAATTGACAACTCTAGGATATCCTCTCGAATCAAACAGGCAAGATAGATGGTACGCCCTCTTGCGCCGCTGCCTAGTATTCCCTCTGTATTCCAGCCTTGCGCATCCAGCTTCAGCAGTGCAGCCTGCCGCACGCTGGGTGCGGCAATCACCTCTTCCCAAGTCAGGTCCAGCGGGGACTGGATATTGCAGTACTGTTTGCATATCCGGGGCGGCCTACCGAGGAACAGCGCCAGGTCTTTGTCAATGCCGTATGCCCCGATCATGATTCTCTTGCGCAACTCGGATAGAAAAAAAGGGATGTTTCTGTCGTCTCCCGCCTGATGAAGGCCCAGAGCAAAGACAATCGTAGTAAGATCGCCGAGCTTCTGCCAGGTTCTGTAATCTGTCCTTTGTCAGTCTGAATTGTGATCGCCAGGCTGAGCACAAAACCTACCACCTGTGCCATATGTATGATGAACCAAGACCAAGTACTGAAGAGTAGCGCAGCAAAGACTATCGCTGATCGTCCCCAACCTATCACATAACTGTAGACAAATATCGCTCGCTGCCAGCGCAATCCGTCGTAACCCCTTCATATCCTTACCAGGGAGGTCCTCGCTCTGGAAGAGCGGATCCTCATGCGCAACGTGATAGATCGCATACCCTACCGCAGAGAGGACAAGCGCATAGCTGTCCCATCGAGCGCCACTTAGCGCTACGTATTCCGACAGTGTCATCGACGCCTGCAACTCGATCTCCGTAGCCGTATTGTGGAAAAACGTCCTCGACAGCTCCAGCACACTGGCATACTTGTCCTGCACACCCTCTGTAGCATCGTGATACAGATCTCGAAGTACTTTGATGATGCACCGGAACATCTGCGTGCCGAAGATCCACCCCTCCCAGATAGCAAACCGCTTCTCCAGAAGCTCTTCAAACAGCGGCAAGTGATCCAAGAGCAGCAGCACCTGCGCCCCGAGCTCCACCTGTCTCAAGTCAACGACCGCCGCAATCGATCCCGACCCCGAATCCCCACTGTCGCGCGGCCGCATCGCATGGTCCAAGACCGCGGCATACCCCGTGACATTGTCGGAGTAGCTAGTCAATCCCAGAAAGCCCGGATTGGCAAACGGTCGCTTCTCCCATGCATGCGACTCGCCAATCGTCAGGGGGGATGCAGAGACTGATGCGGATACGGAAACAGACACGTCGCGAATGCCGATGGGGGAGACACCTGCTGCACTGACGCTGACGTTTGCGCTCTGGCCTGGACTATGGGTTGGTTTCTGCATGGGTTTTCGAATCGCTGCTGCCTTGGTGTCTCGGGGTTTTGTGAGGGGAGCAGGATGATAGAGACACTGGTCTGCCCGACCCCGCCGGACGCAGCGGCTACATATCGGCCTCGTATGATCGCACCCCAGTTTCGATTTCCTGCATGGCTCGCAGGAGGGGAGCTGGCCGTTGCGACGGGTTGTTGTCATATTGTATGGTGGTTTGTTGATGGACGTGGAGGGAAGAAATAAAGTCGGAGCGTATCGAACTCCGACTTAGAAATCACAGTGATTTAACCCTGTTTGTATTAGAGTCGGCCTAATTGTAGCATGGATATTTCAACTCCGATGTTTAATCTGTATCCTTACTAGATTTCTGGGCTTTCCCTGTCATCTAACATCGTAATTTAAAATTATATGATTTAAAAGGGTTTGAGAGGGAGAGAGGCATGATAGAAATATAAATAGCTAATCTATGTTCTTTTAAGATATCAGTCTATGTCTTCAGACCTTAAATCACGCACATATCCATATTCCAGTTATCCTATTAGTCTATAACTATTTAAATCTTTATATAGCCCTGATGGGAATGTGTCCTTATCCTTAAACGAAGTAATAACTATATATTTAATAAATGGATGAGGTTGACGGGAGTGTGGCTTAACAAAGGATGATTGAATGACATATTACTTCTGCTGTATTTGCAGCACTTGACAAGTGACAAGTGAGATAGGAATAGAATCAATCTGTAGAGCAAGTGTAGGAGACATCTAACCCATCCATTCTTCTCTGTACTCTGTATGTTCAGCATCGCACTGAACCCAGCTAGTAGTCCTCACCTCATATTTCTCTTATCTATCAGTTCCACTTCTCTCACATCAATATCATCTCGTCACTTGCACCTCTCTCGCACCCCTGCCAGCTTCCTTCTTGCTTCTTGCTTCTTGCTTCTTGCTTCTTGCTTCTTGCTTCTTGCTTCTTGCTTCTTGCTTCTTGCTTCTTGCTTCTTGCTTCTTGCTTCTTGAATCAGATGCGCTGCTGAGGATCCAGAGACTGTGGAGGACACAGACAAGTCGCGTATGCTATCACTTGCGCTCGGGTCTTGGTTTTGGCTCTGTGCTGCTGCCTTGCTTTGGTATGGTTTCGTGACGGGCGCAGGGTGATAAAAACACGAGTCTGCCTGATCCCGCCGGACGCAGCGGTTGCAAATCGGAGTTGAATGATCGCAACGGAGTTTGGATTTGCGGCATGGCTCGCAGGAGGAGAGCTGGCGATTGCGACGTTTTTGTTCCATGTTCTCTGGATGGTTTGTGGATGAAACTGGTCGTTCAGTAAGAGTTGGAGTTGGAAGGGATGGGGTGGCTAGGGCAGCTGGCGAATGTGGTATTTGCTCATGTCTTTTCAACGCATCGCTAAGATACTCAGTATGATCATCTGGTTGCTTACTATTGACGTACTTACCTTTTACCACTCTTATCTCTGGTGTCTATAGGAGTGGTCAGCGGATTTCGACAAGAGGAGACTCTTACGCTTCTCCTCATGACGCCTGAGGCTGGACATATAAGTAAATGCCCTGGGACAATCTTTGCACTTGACAGGCGGAGATGCTCCAATGCATTTCCTTCACCATCTTACAGAACCATATATGGTTCCGGGCAACCAGGTCCATGGGCCTTTGGTAGATTTGCATTTTTCACAAATCTTTGGGGCAACGAATCTCAATCCTTGCAGGATTGGGAGGGCCCGGTTAAGCCCTTGAAGGGTAATATAAGTTGGACAACCAAAACTACTTGAAAGCATATAGGAAGTGGAGAGTAAGAAGTAAGAAGTGAGAAGTGAGAAGTGAGAAGAGATGATGTGTTGGGGGTAGAGGTGAGATATGAGGTATGAGGGTTGGGGAGGTTTTAGGTGGTGAATGTTCAGAGACAGATGATTCGATATCCCTACCAGATGTTGATTCAATATCGAATACTATGGTACTAGATCATTATATTGTTACTATGGTTTCGATCCCCAGTAGGTGACGATTCGATATCAGTACTAGATGATGGTTTGACCCTTTGATATTGAATGCAGTGGTACTATATATGCCCGACCGATACGAACTCCGACCAAGGTACAAACTACCATACAAACTCCTTATCAATGACCCAAACCAATATGGCAACAACCCGTCGCAACAGCCAGCTCCCCTTGCGAGCCATGCCGCAAATCAAAACTCCGTTGCGATCATTCAACTCCGATTTCAACTAGTCCGATCTTCCTCCAACTCCGAACAAATTGCCCGATGCCTGCAATGGTCAATCTGTATGCCTGGGACAACTGGAATATAAATATGTGCCTGATTCAAGGCCTAAAGACCCAGAATGATGCCTACAATCAATGAAAGAACACAGATAAGCTGTTTACGTCTTTACCATGCCTCTCTCCCTCTCAAACCCCTTCAAATCATCCAAATCCCAACGTCAGACGAGAGAGAAAGCCCATAAATCTACCAAGGACGACTCGTCATCTGTCTACAGTGATGATGCTACGCTGGTAGCTGGCACAGAACAATCACCAAAGTCAACGCCAGAATCTCAAAACCAGAGGGAGCTCGACTTTAGTTCTATGCGATACAGTAGGTTCCCTGATGTTGGCTTTCGTTGACTTGGCTGATCCTGAATGTTAATATTTGAATCATCGTATAGCCCCGATGGGAATGTGCCCTCGTTCCTAAACCGAGCGACAACCATATGTTCGATAAATGGATGAGGTGGACCGGAGCGTGGCTTAACGAAGGATGATTGAATGACATATTACTTCTGCTGTGGGCCTGATACTACAGCTCTATTTATGACAATATACTATGTTTGTGTTAATAAACATGCATACTGCTTGAAAATACTTAGAGCATATACGTGCCAG